CAAGCTATGGGCTTGTTGCATTTCCTTTTCCGTCCATCATTATATTTGCCAAGAATGACTTGCTGAAGAGAAAAATATATATCCCCTTTGGAGTTATGAAAATATTATTCTGGCAAGTAACAAATTATAGGCTATTATTGCATAATTTCAGAGAGAAGTGAGAAGTTATCTGTCCAGAGGGAACATGAAGTAGCCATGGAAGAATATGACCCCATGTATCTTAAAAGGAATTGCAATGCAAGACTGTGTGACGATTAGGGAACCTTTTGCCATCAGTCTGCCTTTTCCTTTTCTTAGTTTCAAAAAAAACCCAGTTAAGCTAGTGCAGAATTTACAAACAGAAGAGTTACAATCTGAATCTACCAGTCTAGCTCAACTGTCACATGCTCACAAATAGCCTGGTAAAACATCTAAAATGCTGTTGTAATAAGGAAGCAGAAATTATTTTTAAAGACATGATCATTAGAAAAAGTGACACAAATGGAGACAGGAAGGCAGAAACATGGTTGTCTATTTACAGAGGTCCCAGCCTATCTGTCTGTACACACAGTGCATATTTTTTCCTCTTTTGTGGTAATAGAAAAACCCAAACAGGCAATTTTCTAGACAAGTAAATGAATAGGTATAATGGTTTGTGACATTTTAAAAATATAAATGGACACATGGAATGTCCTCTTTCCTAATAGCATAATTTTGACGCATATGAATTCTGTCAACAGACAGAGTAAACAAAAAGAACACTAGAGATAGGGAAATAAAAACAACTTTCAAACACTGTCCACAGCACAGTTCATGCTTAGTTTCTCTGTAGAGTTTCATCCTCCTGCATGCGTCTTTTTTTTTTTTTGTGGAAACAGATTGCAGATGTAAGAGAGAGAATCTCCTTGAGAAGATAATTTCCACATATAATGCAACTTATCGTTTTCTATCTCTCTGCTACTACTTCATGTTTATCTTATTGATTCTTCTAAATCAAATGTTTCTGCTCTCATTTGCCCACGCACCCAATCCTGTTGGTGTTTCTTACCACTCCGCTCTTCATAGGTTCCTGAGTTCTGTTCAACTCGTTTTTATTTTTATAAATGAAATAGCTAAAGCACTGTGAAAGCCTCTGAAATCTTTCTCAGGTGGGTAGAAAATCAAAACCTTGTCCTGCATGTAAATTGCTGGTCAAGTACAGGTGAGGGATGCCTTTCTAGGCAGTTTGTATGGTACATTGTGTGCACGGCTAGGTCCTATTGGAGAGAAGCATGGTGTCTGATTGAAGACAGGGACTGTGTACAGAGATAATTTTTAAGGTGTTGCCTTTACACTGTCAGTCTGTTGGGAGATGAAAAACTGAGCCAGGCAAATGAAAGCAGATCACCCTGCCAGTGCAGTGAGAAATGAATGTGCCTGTGAGATGCACTAGTTTACTTTGGGATACGAAATAGTTGAACGTTTTGGGAATTTGTGGCACTCGGCTTGCTGAATGCCTAATAAGGTCTATTTAGGCTGTGCTGCTGAACACTCACAAAAGCTTGAACTGATAATCCTTTTGGGAGGGTGGAGAGGGCATTATTATGACTTGTGATTCAGTGTCTGACCATGAAATTGGGTACACTCACCATTTTCTTTCATGTTGTCTCCTTTGTGAACTGTGATTCGAATCGTTGTCCTTGTACTTGCTAGTTGAATACCCTACCATCGACTGTATCTCCAGCTGCAGTGCTAGACGTCTAGATAATAAGGTTGAAAATTCCAACAAATTTGCTTGAGGCTTACGGTTTGTTTGATTTTGGCATAGCATACTAACTTCCTTCCCCAAGTCCAACTCAACTTTGTATTTTACGCAATGTACTATTTTAATTCTCTCTATGTGTGCCTATGTGTGTGTGTGCATATGTTCACCTGTCTGTCAGCACATAGACATGTACCTATGAAGCCAGAAACGCATTTCAGGCATCCGAGTCTACAACTTCCCACCTTCTTTTCATTTGTTGTTTTGAGACAGGTTCTTTCACTGATCATGGAGCCAATTTGTTAAGTCTTATTGACAAGTAAGCTCCAAGGATGCTATGTTTCTACATACCCTGTGCTAGGACTGCAGACCCATACTGCTATGTGGAGCTTTTCACATCACTGATATGGCCAGAACTCAGTTCCCCTTGCTTACATAGAAACTGATTTACAGGCTGAGCCCTCTCTCCGGCTCTAGTCCTTTGTACTTGGTTGGGTTCCAGACTTGCGGAGTGCTCTCAGAACCCCAGCCTTTGCCTCAGTTTCCCTTGTCCTCCTTATGCTTCCCACTTTATCTCTTTGCTTCAAAGTCTCCTGAAGCCTTTCTTAAAAATACAATTTAGAAAAGATTCCCCTCTCTCCCTGTCTTCCTCTCCTTTTTACCAACAATAACAATTCCCTTTTAACATTCTTTGTTTTTTTATAACCTGATTTAATTGATAAATTTTGTTTCTGCCTGATCTCTTCATCAGGATTGAGGAAGGATCAAATATCTCCTGTATAGACAGAGGGGCATTATTTTGTTCAATGTTTCCTTGCTGTCACAGTTGACTTTCTGTTGATGTGGCCAAAGCACGTTATTGGCTTACATGACTCAGTCATAGTCTATCATGAAGCATATTGACAGGGAGAATTCAAGGAGGGAACCTGGAGACAGAAACTGAAGTCCAGGTAATGGAGGAAATATGCTTACAGACTTGGTCTTCATGGCTTTCTCAGCCTTCTTTCTTATAAAACCCAGAACCTACCTGTCCACCAGAAAATTTCAAATAAAGTCCCCCTTTCCCCAAGGATGATAACTTGTGTCATACTGACAAAAAACTCTCTCTCTCTCTCTCTCTCTCTCTCTCTCTCTCTCTCTCTCTCTCTCTCTCTCTCTCTCTCTCTCTCTCTCTCTCTCTCTCTCTGCCCTATCATCTCTAAAAACACACCAGTATAAATACCAACAGATTTTTGGCTATGGAGAGAATATTATAATACCAACATCTGGAAATAAACTCTACTAACAGATGATGAATCATTGATACTTCCCTGTTTTTCTCTGTCCACACCTTAAAGAAATATAGTATTCTAATGTCTTTACAGACTATCAACTAGTTCTCTGCCAATTATTGACTTTAAAGTAAATTGGCTTGTAATAATTTTAAAAACCACACACTTGCAGAACAATATTTCTTTTATTACTAAGTGTATGTTCTTGTTAGTGTCTGTGTTTGTGTGTGTGTGTGTTTGCACAGACATGTTTGTGAATGTGCAGGCTCTTGGTGTCAAATTTAAACCGCTTGAGCTTGTAAACTAGTAAAAGTCATCTATAGATGTTTATGAATGTATGCTTTCCTTCGGGCCCCTAGAAAGATCAAAATGGAAAAAAAGTTGTTTGCTTTTCACACATATATACATGCTGCATTCACCCTTTCCTTGAAAACTGCTGGCCATGAGATCAACAAATGCACTTGGTGCGACTCAGGAACAACAAACGGTGCACGGGTAGTGTCTTGGCAAAGTCTCTCTGGTTGCAGTGCATGCTATGAAACCAAAACGCAGAAGAGGTTCTGGAGCTGTGAGGAGGACAGGTGACTTCGCGCACGGAGTTTAGGCATGGCTTTTTTGAGACTAGAAGCTTCCCATCACCTTCTCCTCCCACAAAGGCTATCCGAGGGTACTAAGAAAACTAATCTTCTGTAAGCATCATTTAGGTCACAAAAGCAACGAACAGGTAGTATCTCAGTGCCCTGCTAGCCCCTGTTTGTTGACAACAGCCCTCCCTGAAGCAAATCATTGGGGTATGGTCTGGTTTCTCTGAACCTGTGCATGTGTCTGCCCTGATCGTTGTCTCTGTCCTTGCAGATGAGAAAAGCACCAGGCAGCTCTCTGTATCTGGTGCGAAGTCAGTTCAGCACTCTAAGGAGCCAGAGGAAAGTGTTGGCTGAAGGAGCTGTTGTCAAATGCAACTGTTCCCTATGACCCTGGGTAGAGCCAAGGACCCTAGGGCCAGAGTCTGCTTCTTACCAGTCTCTTGGCACAGGTGTCACAGGTTTCTGTATTCCACCAGCAGAAATGGAGATCAGCCCCAGACTTGGCGGAGAGGATCTGTCACCCAAGCATCACAGGGCCCGTTCCAGTCTCATACAACTGTGAGGACTGGGTGCACTTGCAGGTGACACATACACTGGGTCCTGAGGGATGGGGTGTGGTGGGACTTCAGGTGACAGAGGAGCAAGAACCTCAGCTCATTTCCTCCAGTTGCATCCTAGGAACCCCTCTCTCCACACCCAAAGGGAGTTGTAACCTCACAGTGCTAATCCTGAACAGCACATAGGAAACCCAAAACCCTCCTACAGCGCAGTCCTCAGCACCCCCCCCCCACACGTGGGTTCCCTCCACCCCAATGAATTGGCCCCAAGGAAGTACTGCACATCTTTCTGGGTTCATCTAAGGAAGGGGAAAGGGGTCATTCGCCCTGGAGGACAGTTGTTTCCTTCTTCTTTGGGAAGCTTAAAAGCACTGAGGATGCCAGATCATACTCAGGTTAAATCCCAGACAGCCACAGACTCTGCCACCTCTGCTCTGAAGGAACCAAGAGATGCTCCACCGGGGCCCTGCCTCCCCAACCTTCTGAGCCCTGTGCATTCCAAGCTGGTCCTTCACGGTGCTCGGGGACCCTTCAGCATCTTCTGGGGGGTCGGGAAGAGGAAGAGACTACAAGAACGCGGGGTGCCCTGGACCTGTGAGCCTGCACCGCCCGCACGGGTCATCCGCACGGGCTTGCTTGTTTATTGCCGCGGTCATCTCACATCAGCCTCGCTGAGCGGGAGACGCCCGGGGGGCTCGAACCCGCGCCCTGGGCTCCACTGCGGACGAATCCCGGGGCCGCGCGTGCCTCGCTGGCTGGCTCGCTCGCTCGCTCGCACGCGGCGTGCGCGCGCGGAGGGATCCGCCGGGGCCGCGCCTCCCCGCCCCGTCCCGCCCCCGCCCTCCTCCTCCTCCCGCCGGCTCCGCTGCCGCCGAGGCGGCCGCTGCTGCCGCCGCCGCCGCCGCCGCCGCCTGGATATAGTGCGGCAAGGCGCGGAGCTTGCAGTCACTTTGCGAGGAGGAGCGCGCGCGGGCTGCGGGCGGCTGGGGCACCCACCCGGGAGCGGCGGCGGGCTAGCAGAGGCGGCCGTGGCAGCGGAACCTTCTCTCTCCGGGGCTGGACTCGGTAACTTTGGAACTGTCCGCCGGTGTCACGTCCTGAACATGAGCCACCTCCTCTCCTTCTACCTGCTCGGGTTGCTTGTCGGTAGCGGGCAAGGTAGGAGTGCGCGGCTTTCCTGGCTTACTTTCCCTCCCCCTTCCACCACCCAAGCCGGAGAGGCGAAAAGAGCGAGCCCCCCCCCGGAGCAGGGACCAAAGTTGCGGTGCTTTCCTGAGGCGACTGTTAGCATTGTAGCTCTTTTTCTTTTGGCTGCCCCTAAAATGCTATCCGTTTGCTCGAAGGACCCTTAAATTAGGAGGAGACCCCGTGCAGAATTGGAGATAGCCATCGGTGTGAAAGCGATCCGGGGTGGGTGGGAGGGGGGTGGATGGGTGGGTGGGTGGTTGGGGGGAGAAACTGCTGCTTCTGCTGGGATTTTTGGCTTTCCCTCTTATTGCCCGAAATTGGATGAAGTGTGTTGCTGTGTATTCACAGTTACATATCCGAGGTTGCGGAAGGGAAGGGCACGGTGGTGTGTTCCACAGAAGCGGCAATATATAACTAGCAGCATTAAAGTCTTTTATCAGAAATCTCTGTGTTGTGCAAGAAATTCAATTCTTAGAGATTCTTTCCTCCTTTCCCAACATCTATTCTTGGCGGTGAAGAGAACGTTTGATGGCTTATTTATGTTGGAAACTAACGGGCCATAGATGCTGTAAGACAGCAAATGGCTAAAACTAGGGTTGTGTTGCAAGCATCCATCGTGACCCCCACCCTCCTGTGAATATAGCAAAATCCGAACACGTTCTAACATCTTATTTGAATTACACCTGTAAGGGATTTGGGATGTTGTGGGGCATTGGGGAGCTTTTTTTTTTTCCATTTGGGTGGGGGAGAAAAAAAAGAGACTGTGGATATAATAACCCTAGGGACAATTGTTGGAAGCGATCTCTGCTAGTCTCTGTTTAGAAGACAAGCATTTATCTTTCTGGCTTACACAGTACACGTTCTCATAAAATATATTCACAATCGTTCGAAAGGTTTTCAACTGTCCAGACAAGTTTGGACATTTAATTGGGGAGACAAAATGTCCAAATGTGCAATGTTATTAAACACAAAGGGGATATCCGTCGTTTTTCATTTTGTTGAAAAGTATAGAAATGACATATTTTTCGTGCTGCATTTTCTGCGAAATTAATAAATTGCAAGACAAGTTAAAATATCTTCTGTAAATCCAATTCTAGGCATTTTTTTCTCACCTCTTCGGCGTTGTTCATTTGGTCCAGCAGGGGGTGGTAGAACTCCATTTTAAGCAAGAAATGGTTGTTTCTGCTCTTGCACATACTGTCCTTCTATCATTCTTCAGCAGGGCTTGGCATTTTGAATGTAAAGCCTTCCTTCCCCTGTTCTTCGCCCCAAACTACTGTGTTAGTAAATGATGAACCGCGGTTGGATGCAGATTTTTATGTTCCGAAGTAAGAATGCACACGCTGGGTATTGCTGTCATTTACAAAGTGCCTCAGTCAGGAAGCTCCTCTTTCTCATCCTAACATAGGATGGGAAAAATCTCAGTCTCAGAAAAATTGCAGATAGATTCATCTGAAGCTCACATTAGTCTCATTCATTAATTCAGTCACTTCTTTTGCAAAGATCAGCACACCCTTGTTCACGACAAGAAACAAAGCTGTCATTTTTGGAAGGCTGCTGCTTGTGTTTAACTGTTCATTTTTATCACAGACAGGTCTGACTCTGGAGAGAGAAGCTGAGAATTTAACTTGGATGCAATTGCAATTACACGAGTGTAGTGTAGAGGAATATGGGGCAAGTTTGTGCAGATTGCTGGTTAGCCTCTGAGCTGTCTTGTGGGGTCTGCATTCATCGTTGTGGATGCTAAGTGTGTTGGAATTCAGAGATGGGAGGGAGGTGGGAATGTTTAAGTATCTAGGTAGAAACAGGACACAAAGACAGATACACTTAGGGTCTCTGTATGTAACATGTATCTGAAATTGTGATTCTGCTGGTCTATAATCAGCACACACAGTAGTTACAGAGAAGAACTGTGGAACGGAAGCATGCCTGCAGGGAAACCCATATTCCTTGTCAATGAAACAGGGCAGAAGGATGGCATCTTTGCAAAGAAGATTGCTCTGTCTAGTGTAGTGGTATGGCATCCACAGAGCCATAGTTGGGTATCCGGGGGAACTAGCTTTTGTGTGAACAAGCATGTAATATTGCTGTGCCATGCATTGTAATGAAGTCAAAGATGCCTGGAAACAGAAGTCCTTATCCTGGAGTCTAATTTCTCTAGGCTGCTGTTTTCTTCTCTAATTAAGGGTGCAGCAGCAAGTATCAGACACACCGCTGGGAGCTGTTTTTCTTTTTTTAATGAACCGTGTGTAACTCACATTTCTGTTTATTCTTTTATATTTTTATTTTCTGGTGAAGCCATGAAAACCTACCAGCCAGTGACCCTCAGGCTTGCGTTGGAAACACTAAAGGCTCAGCTGGCTGATTTATATTTCCAACAATACACTTGCAGGGGATTTTATGAAGCATGATTGAAGCTGTTGCTTGGGAAAGTGGTGTGCAGTTTGACTGGGGAAAGGCAATGGTGATGTATTCCCTTTTAAGTAGTCAAAACGTTTGAACCACAACAGTTGAATGGATGAAAATGACCCAAGTGAAAAACCAGCTAACTTAAGTGGATGCCAATACCATAATTAGCTAACGAGGCCTAATAGCTCCAGCCCTTATTTTCAACCCTGTGTTATTGTGCATGCTAAGGAGAGCTTTTTTTAATTATTAAAAATTGAAATAAATATGTTCTTTTAAAAGCCTACCATTTCCACTGAAGGATTAATACCTAATGAAGGAAGGTTGTCCACTACGAATGAGGTTGCCCATGGAAAGAAATGTATAATTCTCTGACTTGTGCAATTGTTTTTGCCTTATCTTTAAGACTTGGTCATAACCTCTGCTGTCCTAAATCTCGAGTGTGTCTCTCATTAGCAGAGCATTTGCTGTCTTTTGGTCAAATCCCCAAATTGAAATAGGAAAAGGCTGACTCACCAGCTTTATGCATGTTTAAGACCATTTTCACTGTCTTTTCAGAATTGCCCTATGTGATTAATGCCAGTCTGTTACTGTTGCTCACATACGTGAGCTGCGAGTGCCCCACTGAGCCTGAGCCATGCTAGTTCCGCTGTCTTTCAGTCTGTGTCAGCCATGTACAGCAGTGTCCTTAAGCCCAAACCACTGGGAAGGGAGCTGTGAAATGCCCACTCAGTGGGTGAATCCGAACATCTGCTTACATTCTTGCAAAATAGTCATAAGTAACTGACCCGTAGAGATCTGTACCTGCTGAAGACAGAGCGCGGTCGTGTGGATGCCTACCAGCGACAAGTCCACAAGTGTCTCCTATGTATAGGCTGTAACAGTTAATGGCCTCTCCTAAAACCTTTATCTGGGTACCCTGCTCTGATTCTTTGCCTGCATCCTCTTTGTGTGAAATTTCTACTGGATCGACTGCATGTCCACTTAGTTTGTGAAAGACAGGCTCTATAAATTAATATTTTTTTTTTGTCAGTCAACAGTCGAGAGGATTCCCTCCCCATCTTGATGCCTGCCGCTCTCACTTTCATTTCCCAAGCTGAATTTGAGCCCAGTGAGCAATAGGCGAAGTTGGAAAGTCCCGAGTGTCAGAGGAGTTTTTGCATGGACACAGGGGACTGCGTTTCTCTCAGACTTAATATCTTACAGGAGAAGCAATTAAGGGAACAAAAGAACCTCATTCAGCAAAGGAAAAAGGTCAAGCTTCATATGATTTTTTTGTAAATAAAGTGGCCTTCTTTCCCAAATGAGCCGGTTTGTTGTGAAAAAGAGAAAGGGGCTAGCCAGGCTGAAGCTACTAATGAGGATGAATATTGGGGCTTGTTTTCAGGCACAGGAGCCGGAAGGCAGGTAGAGCGTCCACATTTGGAAGTCTGAGGACCTGGTGTTGCTGCTTTCTCTGGGATTCGACACAGGGGCAATCTCTTTATCTCATCTTCTTTTCAGCATCATCATCTTAACAATGCACTTCTGACAGTGTGAAGGAAAACGATCAGTTAGGAGGAGACAGAAGGCAGAGTCTGAGCTGTGCTCCTGTTGTTTTTACCCCTGATGGCATCAGCCTGGCTCTGGGTATATGCACAATCATTTAAATAATATTAGTAGTCTCAAAAAGGAAGTATGCTTGGCTCTCAGGTTTTCCTGGATTCAGAAAATGCTGAATTCCTTGCATCTTCAAATCTGGCCAATTTTACCTAGGCAAAGACTATTAAAAAGATTATAAATTAGTTTTAATTTTCCAAATTACATGATAGGAGAACACATTAAGAAGCAACCAGCACTTTTATCGAAAGTATCATTCTACCATTTAACAGAGTTGAGCTGTCATTAACTGTTCGGCAAACACGTGTACTTCTCTGTGGTACCCTTTTAAATATTTTAATGGATCTTTGGTGTTTTAAATTATAAGGGCGTTAATACTAAATAGCTGACAGCATTTTTCTGAGCTACATACATTTACTGTGCCTCTATCAATTAACCAAGTACAACCAGATATGTTAGAATGATATGATGTCACCGGCCAGAGTCTCCTAGATGTTAATAATTAAGGTGGGTGCAAAAGAATGTTTTATTATAGACATGAGAAGACATAATTAAGGAACTTTAGTTTGATTACAGGTTTTGGCTCACAGGGAAAATCATAGTCATGCTCTCTCAGAGCTCAAAGCCTGGGCTACCAAACATCTCTTGACCTTGAAGAAGCAACTGGATTTCTCAGAGCAGCTATTTGCTCATTTAAATTTTGAGCTGAACATATCCTACTGCTTGATCTCGATGCTCAACCATGAGGAATAGCTATGATAGTGATACCTGTAGGCACAGTGTAAAATAGCAAGCCTATTACTCCGGGTGTTGTTTGCCTTATTTAATAATAATCATGCAGATAAAATATAATACCATGTGGAAATACCTCACTTGTTCAATTATATAAAAATCATCAAAATTTTCTTTGTAATTAGAAATGTTACACAGCTAGAGAATGTCTAATACATTGATTGTTTGGACTC